GTGGTTAGAAGCGGATTCTTTTGCAGGAATTGCCGCTACAGCCTTTGAACAGCTTCTTTCAAGAGCCTTTCAACCCGCTGAATTCTTTGCCGATGCACGAATGGCTTAATAATGCCAAGCCAAGCGACGAGGACGAAGCTCGATTGACTATGCTAGGCAATGTCGTGGTGCCACAGTGTGCCCAATTGGGCAGCTGCATTTTGCAGCATGTGATTCAGGGACAGCAGAAGCAGTAGGGGCTGTTAACTGTTGTGTTGAATCTTTTGTGAGCATTGACGCCAGGAGAGTTTGTTGCTTTGGGCTAGTGTTGCTGACCCCAATTCAAGTTGGTTTGCCAGTTTCTTCAGACTGGGACACCTTTGCATTAGATCGACAGCCACAGTGGAGTTACAGCCTCCATCCCATGGTTGTGTGCAAGTGAACGGCAAGATTTCATGCGCGAGAGTGTCCAAAGTGAGACTGCAGCTCACCCGCGTTCGAAGTGCTTCCTTTGATTCGGTCAGCTTCACCTGTGTTTGTTGTTACGCCCAACTTGTTTTCGCGACATGACTCGCTCAGCAGGGTTCCAGGGCTTTTTTGACATGCCTCAGCTTAAAGTTAGGGTCTGTGAGCCCTGTCAAAGTGACCAGAAAGCGTCGAGTTGCCACGTATGAGATGATGTTGCAAATCAGTATCAGTTTTGTGTAGGCCAAACAACTTGTAAATATAGTTGCGGTGTGGCAATGGAAGACGATGGCCCGCAAATTGCGGCAGTCTATGACAGTTCTTCTGAAGAAGGCCCGCCGCCAGTTCCACAGCAGGGTCAAAAGCGCACCAGGAAGAGCGCTGAGTCTCGCAAGAAGCAACCCCCCCTTGACGATGCAGTTCGTATTCAGAGCATGCTTGCCAAAAGTTCTTGTTGCAAGCGCAACTGCAAGGAGCAGTTTCGCGGGAAACATGGCCAGGAGCAGGTGTTGCAGTTCAGGAAAGAGTGGCAGGCCCTTCACAAGACTGACCAAGATGAAGTCGTGGCTAAGTTTTGGAAGAACGACCTTTTTATTTAGGTGACTGTCATTTATTTGTTGTTTTGCTGGTTGCAAAGCAACCACATGCTCGGCGTCATGTCTGACCCAGGCATTCAAGCGGATCCAGGACATTTTCAAAAGCAGTTCTGTAGATGGAGAGGCGCACAGTCGCACGCAATGGACATTTTTGTCAAAGCCAGTCTGTCTCAGATGCTGGAAGTCTTTGCATGGCATGGGATACCATATCTACACTTAGCACTGTTGTCGGCTCCTTTCAATTGTGGTGTTGTTTAGCTTGCTGAATGTACCCCCCAAATTGTCTTTTCTGACTGCGCAAGTTAAGTCGCCAACGCTCTCAAGGAAACCGGAGATTCCGCAAGTTGCTGAGCGCAGTGCAAGAAGGCCAAGCCAAGCCTCCATTAGATTTGCGTTATTTGGAAAAAACCAAATTTGGGAGAGATGATATCCCCGAAGTTGTCACTGAAGTGATCACTTTCCTGGAGCAGATATATACATCGGTAGCCGAGAACCTGCCGGATGTAAGGGATGAGTCCTGGGACGGCGCCTCCACAAACGGCCATGAGGATCCCTATTCTTTGCGTCTTGATACTCTATATCCTCAGCCCACACTGCCTGCGGAAAGAATCACAAAATCGAAAAAACATCAACGTGGCGTGCAAATTTGTCCAGGCCGATCCGTAGCAGATGGTTGTGAAGAGAGGTTCCTTCCTGCCGGCACGATGAAGGAATACTGGATTCAGTACAAAAACCAAAGTCAACTCAACAAGAAAGCATCGTTCCCGACATTTTGGCGGGCATCTGGACACCATTCATCAATTGTTTTTTTTCACCAGCCCTTTTAGGTCCTGTCAGGTCTTTAGGGTCCTTTTTGTTCCCTACTAGATCAGTTGTTATTATATAGTGACATTCATTGGTTGTAAGGCGTGGTGTTCGCACTATTCATTCATGAAGTTTAGGGGCGCCAGCTCACATGCACAGTGCAGTGAGTGCGTGAAGCACAAGTCACTCATTGCCGACCTGGCGCATCATTTGTGCGCGCGTCGTGTGCAACAAGACCATTACTACCGGCATTTACAAGGCCAATTCAAAGATCGAGTGATCTACTGGAGAATGAGAGGTTTGGCGCGCGCGCGCGGTTTGGATATAGTATTTATCCAAGACGGCATGGACCAATCCAAATTCATGGTGCCTCGATCTTCCCTCCTCCGGGCGAAGGTTTTTGAGTCGTTCAATCGGCCTCGGTTGCACGTGGTTGGAGTGATAGCACACGGCAGGCATGTAGCGTTCTATGTATCAGAGGCGGACCTTGCCAAGGACAGCAATACAAGTTGCGAAATTCTAGCCCATTCCCTCAACGAGCTCGCAAAAGCTGGGGTCGACTTGGCATCTTGCAACGTAACTTTGCAAGCTGACAACACGTCGCGAGAAATCAAGAACGGGATTTTGATGAGGTTCGTCAGCTCTTTGGTGAGTGACCGTGTGATCGGGAGTGGCCGGCTCTCTTTTTTGAGAACCGGCCACTCCCACGAAGATGTGGATCAACTCTTTGGAAGAGTTGCTTCCTGGGTGAAACTCCATGTTCGATCTGCTCTAACCTCCGCAGACTTTGTGAGCGCTTTGAAGGAGTTTTGTGAGCATCTAGACCGGCCCTACGAGCCAAAGCGTATGGTGGTCAAACTTGACCAAACGAGGGATTGGTTGCTTGCTCAATGTCAAGTGCCGCATCTTTTCTTTGTGGTTGTTTCACATAGGAAATTTAGTGTGCCCAAGTTTGTTTGGCTATGAGTCAATGTTTGCGCTGAGCAGGCGAGGATGGCTTGCCGAGTCGATGCCAGTAGCTTTGAAGGGCATTGGAGGCCCAGGTGCTCCACACGTTATGCATTTTACACGGCGGATAGACGCAGGCCCGTGCCTTGCGCTGTGATGTTTCAAGCCTCGAAACCTTTTGGAATCTGTTGGAGTTACTTTTTTGAACTTTAATGCAGTTGTAAAAGGAATGTGTTTGATGTTGATGTGACGACAGGCCTTGAATCGCCAGAGCAAAGAGAGTTTTGGAGACTTTGCCACCCGCACCCAAGCGATGTGATTCTCAGGCGTGCCCCTCTAGTATGCACCGCAAGTCTGGCTGAATCGAGGTTTTGATGTGATGTACGTAAGCATTTTCCCCAACCTGCCCAGGACTTCCCAGTGGATGCATGATGCATGTTTCTCTCACAACTTTCTGTTCTTGCCCCGCTTGTGGGCATTGCAGCATTTGCCTGTCGGACTTCCTGCAGGCTTGTGGGAAAGCGGGTCAAGTGGATCAAACCATTTCATTGCCTAACGAGTGGTTGTTCTTGTTCGTGTTTGTCTTGGTGCCAGTCATCGCTGAACGCAACGAGATTCCTGCAGCCTACAGGGAGCAGCTGGAGAGATTCTTTCCGGTTTTGCGCCTCCCGGAGTTTGGCTTGGGGCGGGCTGCAGATTACTTGCAGAGTTGGTGTGATGGCAGTTGGGAGCGGCAACCTCTTTTGGATCTTAGCCAGTCTTCTGGTTAGTTATTAGCTATTTATGGAATTGTGTGATGGGCATTTCCCCAATTCAATTAGCACCAAAGACGGCTGTTGAAATCCTTCTTGCAGCCCAAACGTGTTCTGGAAACCTCAGGATTCGATTGCGGCGCAGCAGAGAGGGGCATTCTCTGGGGTCTGATTTGTTTTCCAGGAGATGTCAGTTGTGCATGATTTGGGAAACCATTCCTCTTTAAAAACCTAGAACAATGTTGTGACTTGGCAGGACTGCTGCCTTCGACGTTCTGCCAAATCAGTTGAAGTTCCTTGTCTGTGTGTCTTTTTGCGGGCTGTTGCTTGAGCAAAACAAGTGTTTGAGAGGAAAGAGCTGTGGCGAAATACAATTGTTCGGAGATAAATGTCTGTGGCTTCTTTGTCGCGCCTGTAGTAGTCAGGCTCCGTCTTCCTGATAATCACCGACAACAAGCTCGAAACTATTTGGAGGGGGCAACCTACCAGGCTGCGGCGAGAGTTTGGTCTGAGGGTGTACCGTGGTCCGAGGCCATTGTTTTGGCAAAGCGGGCAATAGAAAAAGCGCATCCAAAAGCCAAGGCCAAAGGCCACGGTAAGTCGAAGGGGAAAGCGAGGCCCTCCCCAAAGGGGAAGGGTAAGGGCGGTAAGGGCTGACTTTCTGCCTTGCAACTCATCAACCCTGAGATAATCTTACCGCCTTTGAGGTTGAATTTTCACCCCCCCCGAAGTCAATTTGTCGCAACCCTAAACCCTAAACGTTTCGGCAGTTTAGAAATTTAGGAGCGGCAATTCGCTTTGCGGGCAGAAATCAGACGCACCGTGGCCAGTTGACTCAGCAAACCTGGGTGTGACGGATGCTACCTCAGATTGGTCACCCCACAGCATTCTGTCAAAGTTTTTGGAAGAATGTGTTGGGTTTACGCGCCACCGGAAAAGTAGAAGCAACCTTTAGTGTGACCGATCTGACCTAGGATTGGTGACTTTTTTTGCTCCCCAGAAAATGGGCTCTGGGTCACGGATCCGGTGGGCGGGCTGTGAAGTGTCGGATTCAGAAGTGTCGGATTTTAAAGTGACGGATTACGAAGTCACGGATCCTACCTAGGATTGGTCACACAGGCCTGTTGTCACCGCAATATGTTTTGATGACCAATTTCTATATTGTACTCCAGCTAATTATTACTTGTGCTCTGAGCAACATTCTAGAAGTCTAGAAGTGTCGGATTTCGAAGTGTCGGATTTTGATATGGGTTGATGGAACTTAAGTTGCCAGGCTTACTTCGCGTGCCTTGAGCTTGAAATTCCTTACCTTTGCTGTCTTTGCATTCGCTGTCCCCTATTCCTTCCATTTCTGTCCACGCTTGGAACAGCTGACGCAACAAGAACTTATTCGTAGTATTGTTGTGAGGCTGTTTGGGTTCAGAAGAGCTTCGATGCGAGCGTGTGAGCGCACGACATGCCGAAACGGAAGTCTGGCTCCGGGGATGCCAAGGCTAAGGCCAAGGCACTTAAGGCCACGACTGAAACCGACGCAGAGAAGGCAGAAAAGTTCGCGTGGATTGAGGAGCTGACAAGTTGGACTTTTGACTGCTTCAAGACCGTTGAAGTTTCTTCAACACAGTAGTCTGGTCTCTAAGGCGTCCTTTATGGAGGTGGTCCTTTGTTTTGGAATTTTGTTGAGTTGACAAAGATTGGGCGCCTCGTAACGGTGGCTTGAAAGCTGCTTCGCTTCGTGAACTTTCAGCTTCCAAATCGCAGCCTTCCTACTCAGGTATGAGGACCGAGTTCAATCAAACGGAGGGCCGGATGCATACCTTACCAGCAACTACAAGGACAAGGCGGTTTTGGGCTGATTTGTGTTTTAGACGTTTGTCATGTGAACTAAGAGTTTGGAGGCTGGCAAACTCAGTTTTGCCAAGTGGATCGATGACTTCTGCCCAGCCAACGGTTCGCAGGGGGCCTATGAAGTGTTGTGCGTTGTGGTAGCACGTTCCTCTTAATTAAGTTGTTCCCTTCCATGGTTTCTTGGTCTTCTGGGCTGGTGCCCAGGCTTTCTTATTGCACGGACAAGAAGACACCAGGAGTGATCCGCCCCTGGCAGTGCGGATGGAGGTCTGACTTTTCCCTTAGTGGAATGATAGACCCCGAAGTTGCGGTGAATCTCATCGAGCTCATTTGCTCAGAGGGGTTGCTTTGACGCTTTCATATTCAAGACTGACTTGTGGTTGCAATTTTCTATATTATCGAACGCGCTGATGGTTAATTGAATACATGGTTTGCCATGCAGACAGGCATTTCATTACCAGATGCTGTAACCCATTCTGTGTGTACATCCAGGTTCTTGACAGACGCCAATACCGTTGGGGTGAACAAGGTCGCAGCGACTGATGTGCCTGAAGCGTTCTTGGAGGAAAAGTATACCGAACTCCCACCACTGGAGCCTTACAGCCCTTCGCCCAGTTCGTTTTCCAGACGCCGGCCTTTTTGTTCTCTAGTCTAGTGCAGACATGGCTGTTTTGTTTCCTAGTGTTTCTGGTTTTCCCGGGTGTGGTCCATTATGAAAGAAAAGCTGGATCCTAATCATTTGGAGCCAGCTTTTCTTGCATCATGGCCATGTGTGGTAGATGCCAAGGTCACCTTCTGAGACCGTTCAGCGTGGCTTACATCAAGGGATACAAAAGATGCCTCATTCTCTTGACCATTCTTCAGGGTATCAAAGAGCTTGGGCTAGAATCAGAGGTTCCGCAACATGTCAGAGCTGCCAGGCTAATTGTACAGTGTTGGAGTGTTTTTGTTTAATTTCTATTTCACTTCTGAACTTTCCTGTGGCTGCAAAGGCTTCGATGGGCACTGTCCATGTATCCTTTGGAACCTATGAGGATGTTCGCGCTCAGGTGATGGCCAACCGAGGCCTGCATCATTTCTCCTATGGCAATCATTTCTCCTATATAGTAGGCCAAAACCTGGATGCGCACGCGCTGTGTTCGGTATGTGGTAAAGTGGTTTTTTGAATAGGTAAAGTGGTTGGTTCAATCGGTCAATTCATTTCGCTCGTTCAATCCGCCTGAAGGATCCCACTTGGCCAACCATGCCACACGTCGGGCTCCACACGCGTTCAACCTGCTCAGACAAGTAAACGTTCTCAGAAAGGCTGGAATGGGCTCTGCGCAATCCCAGATGAAGGACCTATGTTAGTGTTCGTGAATAGTACAATATATTATATATATATACACATAGCGTTTGTTTGAAGTTTTGTTTCTCTCTCTAGCTGCTAGTCTGTTGCAAAGTTTCTGTTTCATTTTTTGGGGAGAGGACTGGAAGAATGCGGCTGGAATGGCTCGGGCGTTTCAAATTGGTAAGATGGAAGCAGATGCCCTCTTTGAATTGACATCAGCTGTCCCCGACACTATTGTGTCAGAACTCTCCCAGCTGGTCACGACTCGCGGCATGGTGCGCTTTTTGAACCACGATGTGATTGGGAAGGGCACCTTTAGCACGGGATTCAGCAGTGGCATCGGTACAGCTGATTGCTGGGCTGAACCATTGACAAATTTGCCAAAAGATCGCACATTGGCCACTATGTTTTAGCTGGCATGACTTTTTATGCACTCTCCAACCTTTTTAGGATTGTGTGATGGAGTTTTAGCCTGGCTAGGTCAAGCGCTAGCCAGGTAAAAGCTCCACCAATACCATGTCCCTCACCTCTTGCCTCTTTAGTTATCCTGGTGACATGACCGGGGCGCCAGGTGAAGCTGTATGTCCAGCGCTTGCAATTAGACCACGACAATACTGCGCAGCAACTTCGGAAAGCGGTGAGCTTCAAGGATGCATTGAAGGTGCATCAGTCGTGCGGAGCCTTCATATTTTTCCTGTCGAAGTTGCAAGAGCTAGCGCCGGAGAAGGAGTTTGCAGATATGAAGGCTGAACTCACCGCCCAGTTCAACTCAGGGCTTTTGGACGCAGACTTGCAGCATTGTGTGGACAACCAGATCCCGGCCAACGCAGACTTGCGAAACATTTCTGCTTTCAGGCAACGACGGCCCAAAACTTTCATTGCTTTCGTCGATTTGTGTGCCTTTCAATAATTGAAGACCTTTTGTAAGGTTCCCCACCATTTTGCAAGGTTCCCCACCACATGTAGAAAGCTTGAGGTATTTTTCCGCACTCCTTGTGGAATCACACCGCGCATGTTATAACTTACAACTGTTTTGTGGAGGTCCTACGTCACCAAGATCGAGCGGGGCAAGACGGAAGACCGAGAGCAGCGTGCAAAGCAGTTGGCGAAGCAAGTTGCGGAGGCAAACCTAGCTCAGGTGAAGGGAATGGTGGAAGCGGACGTTGAGAAGTTGCGAGCGAATTTGCCTGGCCAGGCTGACGCAGCAGCTGAGCACAAACTGGATATGAAGTATTTGCGAGATCGACAGTTGACTCTAGACTTTGGGATTTTCAACAAAGGTTTAGAGGCCAAGAAAGCCATGTGGACGGTAAGGACCCTTACCGTCCACATCGTAATCTTTGGACTTGGCGTAGCGAACCTTGTGCCGAAAAAGTTTTTTTTTAATTGTATACCAGTTCCATTGGCCCAGAACGTTCTTTACGCACCGGTTTCATTGCTGTTTGCGCAAGGAAGGGTCGAAAGTATGCGGAGGAGTTCATGGCCAACAATGTCGTCCTTGTTCCAGTGATGGAGGATATGAACAACGGCATGCCTGCTTTCTTGCAGTTCCTGGAAAAATGGCGTGGCATTCCTGGGAAAGTGCACCTTATCTGTACAAAACGTAGATCTATTTTTGAGTAGGGCTGTTCTTGAATACCTGTTTGTTGAAGTTGATAGTCATTATGGGGTGGTGGAGCAGCTGTGCACTAGGTACTGCATTGCCTGCTTGGATATGACTGTCTACCCAGCGTTTGCAGCCTACGTGAAAAAGGCCTTTGAGATTCTGGGCTCCGTGACGGCCATGAGTCCAGACAGCTGTGGTTTCGTTTTGCTGCCAGTGTACCAGAAGCAAACCACAGATGTTGCCCGAATCAAGCACAGGCGAACGATTGAAGACTACTTGATCAAAGGAAATATGTCCTACGGACAAGAAGTTGCTGTGCTTTACAACAAGCCAGACTCTCCAGCGAGGGACGGGAGGCCCATGTCGCAAGTTTGTGTGATGTCATTGCACAACTCATACACAGAGAGCTCTTGGAACGACAGCGATGCAATGACAAGTGGGCGGGTCGGCCCTTTCCCCTTAATCAAGGTGGGCGACATGTTAGGGTTCGACGAGGCTACCCGTCCTTCGGCAAGCGCACGGGTGGAGCAGAATCCTGGCTAGTTATTTGGCAGAGCTTTCTAGAACATGTTTAGATTGAGCACCGTAAAGAGGAAAAAGTTCAGGGCCATTCATTGACATGGTCACATGTTAGGAGAGGAACCCCATGCGCTTCAGCGTTGATGGAGTCGTTGTTGAAGGGCATTCCACTTGGTGAGGGTGACAGAGTTCTGTGGTTCGACGTCATTCCCAACAGGCAGGAAGCTCTAGACGCAGAACGACGTGAGGAACGAGAAAAATACAGTGGTTTGTGTAGACCGGTCGCCTAAAGAAGATGTGTTATCAACCTTCCAGCGTGCAACGCCCTTGGCAGGCAAGCTGAGTTTGCACGAGCTGCGCTGGAGAAGCTGCTGGACGCCCCGAATGTCAATAGCAACTGCAAGTACGTGGGCCTTGTCCGCGAAGAGAGGATCAATGACCTGAAGTCTGCTTTGGAAAGCCGAGTCTACTCAAGTTGGGACGCTTATCATAACAAGTCTGTAAAGTGATTATTTATGATTATTTTTTTTGTCACAGTTAGTTTCTTCGCAGCTGACTCCCAACACTTGATTACACGCGCAAATTTTATGTTTGTTTGTTTAGGTATACTTTGTTGGCCGGCGGCCGGCCCAAGCACAAAATGAAAACTGTATTGAAGCGACGCGAGGATACCAACAGTGACCTGGCACCTCCTAAAGAACGGCCTCCTCCACGACCGCTGTTCCGACGGCCGAGACTTTGGGCCTCAGCGTCATCCCCATCACCCGTGGTAAGCCGGTGTTCCCGGTTGCAGTTTTGATGGGCAGGTTCGACGAGGGTTCTGCTGAGATCGAGGAAATCAAACGTATGCAGAAGGCGTTTGAGGATGAGTTTGGTGGCCAGAACACAAGCTCTGACCGAGCTGGGGATGTCCGGGCAAGTGGAGTCTGTGACTACAGTGTAGATGAAGGCCTCAGACCTGTGGACATTTCTCGAGCTGCAGATTTGCCCGTTACACCGCTGGCTTACCTTGCTGCAGACAGGCCAGGCTTGGGTTAGGGTGTTTTCACTTCCCACACCCTAGCTTGGTGCCAATCTGGGGACATATCAAATGGTTTCAACACTAGAGTTTTTTCGGGTTTGGATTCTTCACCAGACTTGGGCTTTGCAGTTGCAGGATTGGCTCCATTCCTGGAAAGGCCAGAAAGCCCACGATAGTTTTGACCAAGGACTATCAGATTTGGCTTGCCAATCCCGCCACCGAGCCGATGGAGGTCGCGCCAGGAGAATTGTTTGGTTTTGGTACCGGCCAATACACCAACCAGGTTGTGACCCGTAGTTTGGACGGCTTTAGATCTAAGTGTTCATTGTTTTGTTGTTGCTTTTCTTGTGGTTTGGAGGGCCTAGAAGAATGGCAAGAACCTTTGACTTGTGAGGTGAGTCAGAAGAGACCACTGGATTGCCTTGGAGATTGCGCAGCGACCGAGATATGGTTGCGTTCGACAAGAACCCCATCGCGCTTTGCGAGCTCCTCCGGAAACTGGCAGTTGAGCAAGGACTTGCTGATATTGATGTCGAGTTTCACGTTTTGGCCGGGAAGATGCATCCGACACCAGTTTTTCGCCGTTATTTTAGAAGATAGACTTTTACTTTTTTGATCTGTCTGTGGGTGATTGACGGGCAAGCGTTGCTTTTTGCTGGCTGGGATGAGGCTGATTCGACCGAAGCAATGCCTGTCAGTTTCAGGCAGGTCCATTTTGATATGTTGCGCCATCCAGTGCTGTGTGCTTCCAGGGTCCCTTAAGTATGGGAGTTGTATTTGCAGGTGGGAGGTCTCTGCACTCACCTCTCAGAAGACTTGCGTGTACAAGCCCAATGCGATCGCAGACAGCGGTGAAGTGAAGAAGGTGTCTTTCGGCGCTTTGTTTGGGAATAACTACCACAAGGTGCCCCGCAACAGTGTGGCTGCTTTGACCTGGGAGGCTCGGGCCGTTTTGTGGGCGCAGCGATATCCCAACTCCTTGCTTTGTTTTCATTCTTCTTCTTTTGAAGAACTCAGTCATTGTTGGAAGGATGTTCAATCTTAGTCAGCCTTGAGGTTCAATCTACATCCAGCCCTCCGAAGCTCTTGCCTGTGAAGCCCAAGCTCTACCTGCTCGCCAGGCTCCAAATCCCAGCGAGCTCATGCGTCAATCTGTCGCGAGCTGACTCCTAGTGGCCCTTATAGTGAACATGAAATGAACCCAGTATGGTTTAGTTGGCATTGCCCTGTTGTGAATTGCAACCCGTGATGAATATCTTTTGGCCACCTGGACCTCTGCAACACGCTGCTTGTTCATGTACTTGCTTGTTCATGTACTTGGTTGTGCGACAGGGTTGAAGCTAGGAGCGCACAAATTCAGCTGCCACGTTGCGAGTCTTGCGCAATTTTGTGTGTTGGCAGCTCTGTAGTGTGATGTCAATCAATGGTGATGCCGGCAGTTCAAAATGATATGTTTTTTTGTGCGACACCAGAGAAACTGGTGGGGACTGATTTCATGCCCATTCAATATGCCTGTTTTTTGCGCTTGAATGGGCCGGCTTGATGATTGTGTCCACCGTTTTCCCCACAGCCGTAGTGAGATAGCATACCCAAAGCAGTTTGACGCCGCCATGCCAATCTTGAGTGTGGTGAAAGACAGTGACTTGAGTCCGAGCTCTGGAGAGGACAATGTCTGGGTGTGTTTGTTGTAGCGATATTGTTTGATGGTGCGTTGTTTGTTGCTGGCCTTCAACCTCGAAACAGTTTTTTTTTGCAGGACAGGCTTCCCGACCGGCCCGAGAAGCCCGAGCCCAAACCAAAACGCAAGCCCGCTTTGCGCAAGAAGCCATCAGCCGCTTCTGTCAAGGAAGGCTTGTAGCATGTTTTACTGCTTCAATTGTTGCTGTAGATTTTTACAAAGGTAATACCACCCTCTACGCAGGTGATGGCGGCCACAATGATGCCGAGGTTGTTGATGCCAATGTTGCTGAGACCAAGACTGCCGAGACTGCCGATGGTGAGCCCGGCACTAGCAAACCTGAGACACCAAAACGATTGCCGGTTTTGAAAAAGCCAGCTGCAAAGAAACCGAAGCTAGAGACACCTGCGACAGACGCCGCAAAACCCAAGGAAGGCGAGGTTGATGCAGGTGATTCAGGTGAGGTTGGGGCAGAAGAGAGCAAGAAGAAGAAGAAAGAGACGAAAGCAACAGACACCTACTCTCAGCCGTACCCTTACAAGGATACAAACCGTTGGGGAATCAAAATGCACAAGAAAGGAGGTGGATCAAAGGAAGTTTGTAGTGTAACCTGGTTGCAACGGACACTTGTTTCTATGCATCAAAGCACGGTGTGCCCTCAGACATTCAACTTTCAGAAAGGATTCATGTCTGATGTTTGCACTCAGGTAGGCTCAAAACACATTCCCAGCGAGAAAGCAAAGGAGATCATTGTCCTTTGGATGCTTTTGAACAACCATAGGACGCATTGATATAGACTATATATACATATATGTTAGCTATATATAAATGTTCTTACGTATGTAGAGCGATACTTAGAGCGATGTATTTAAATAAATATACGTATATTATCTAGATAAATATATCGAAAACTTTTGGATGTGATCTGGGTTGTAGTTGCTCCATTAAGGATGAGGCCCATGCGGAATTGTTGAAGGGCACACCCGTGGACCAAGTCAGGGCCATGATTGTAACTTGAAAGAAACACAGTGAAATTGATTGCAAGATGTTGGCACGGTACAGGTTGCCAGCCACATTTGGTTTGTTCTTCGAGCGTAAGTTTTTTGCTCCTTGTCATTGAGGAAGAAATGAAATCTGCTTTGCTGGCCAAAATCTTGGAGCAGAAGAAACATGATGATGGTGAGCCTGCCACAGCGCAGGATAATGCTGCCAATGCGCAGGAGAATGAGGAGGGTGCTGAAGAGGAGCAACCAGCTACGGAAGATCCTGCTGTGGACTGACAAACTCTCCGGCTTGAGGTCTGAAAAAAAGATCCCTTGGCTAATGCCTTTCAACGTTTTGCGAGGAATGCGCTGTGAGATTCACGGATGCTAGGTACCTACCTAGTTGGTGAAGAATGTGATTTGTCCGCCCCGTGTGTTTCCACCAAGAGGCGCCGGTGTTCCTGTCGAGCAGTTCCAACATCATAGTGTTTGGTTTCCAACTTGTTCGGACAGTCATGGCCACAGTGGCTGCGGTTTCTTGAAGGTTTTTGTAGTAAAAGCGCACGCAGTCAGGTTTCCTGATCCCTGTTGGAAGATTCAGTCTCGCTGATCGCTCACGTTCAGGGCTGAGCGAGATGCCGTTCAACCACGCTGAGCAAAGCATGTGTGTGTTCTCAGGCTTTGCTGCTGTTGTTGCCGCGGCTAGTGATAGTGAACGCCTGGGACGCGATCAGCCAATTGCGCAGAAAGCTGTGAAATGAAAATGACCAGTTCTCACCTGTTGAACACTTGGCCTTTCGAGTTGCCGGCGCGAAGACCGATCATGGCACGAGAAATTCACGCTGACTTTTCACCGACGCAAGCTTTTGCATGTTTTCTTTCGCGAAAAGGACCGAGTTCCAACAGGTGATTGTTAAACACACCTGCCTCCTTGTACTGCAAACATGGTTTCAAACAACCATACCAGTCTACTGGCTTTGACTCCAAGAACTGAGGTGCTGAAACCTAAATAGCGCTCACCGTCGGCGGTCGGGATCATCCCTGTTTTCATTCTCTTTTTTTTGGTTGGTTTTTCTTCTCCTAACCAAAGACTACCGCACCGGAACTTTACACGAGAACATCAGTAGGCTTACAGTTTGTGAGTGTGTGTGTGTGTGTGACACATAGGGACTGACTGTATGTGTGTGTGTGTCTACGTCTATCCATGGGGAAGACTTCGCTTCATAGTCTTTTGACATACTATAAGATTGTAAGACGTACTATAGAACACCATGTGGTATTCGGCCAATGCTTTTGTGGAAAGCGTTGCAAGTTCACGTGGTTGCAGGTCTGTGCAGAACCACAGCTCTGAACACCCAATCACTTTGGAACACCCATTCACCAGAAATTTCCTTCAATACCGACCTGCACGATTCCAGTCCAGTGGGTTTTGAGCAAACACTCATTTCGTCGCCAGCGACCTCGGGTGTTCGCTGCCGGCCAAGTACCAGAGTTCAGGTCCACCAAATTTTCCGTTGCAATTTGATGTCTGATCCTCCTGGCCGCGGCCTGCCGGAAGCCAGATGATTTGCAGCTGTCGGCTTGGCTAAATGCTCTGGCAATGGGCAA